TACAGTGAGCTCCAGTATGCAGGGGTGATGCAGTGTACGAGGCATAGCTGCAGTTTTCTACAGACCAGTTGCTACAAGAAGTTTAAAATGAGCTCTCTGGTAATAGCCACAATTTTCACTCTCCGAAAATGGATAGAGTCCGGCACTGACAATCTCCCTTGATGTTAAATGCGTGCCAGCCAATTTCTTTCTGAGTTTCCCTATTTCTTTTGTTAAAGTAGGGGACATAACTTTGAATTTTAAACTTCTACTAGCTATACTAGTGAAGAATTTTTACACACATTTATATACATAACTAAATGCTCTATGTTATACTACAAAGGATAAAAAAGAAAGTGAAAAAGTAAATTATGTGTCTTTATTTCAGATATACAATTGAAGGAATTTTTGTTGGCTGAAAAATGGCATTGTAGAGATAATTTGTATATGTACATTTCAACACCTCTCTGCATAAAATGAAGTGTATCCAGTCCTTTTTTCTACTTCAGAAATACTCCTTAATTTCTTCTCCTGCCCTTTTAACAAATCCTACTCCTCTAGCTGTGTCTACCTTAAAGGGTCATTTATGAACATGAAACCATGCTCCTTTCACCATTTCCAAGTCCATTTTCATAATCACTGCTGGGGAAAAGTTAGGCAGTTCATTAGCACAGAGGAAAAGAGAAGGAATCAGAAGTCAGACCACTGGGGCCGGAACCAGGCCTGCCACTTACAAGTTGTGGCAATTAACTTAACCTATTTCTACCTGGTTAAAATGGGGATAATAACAGTATTTTCTCACAGAATTGTAGTAAATGAAATACTGTATATAAAGTGACAAATAGGTAGAATGAAATAGATGTTAGTCAGAATTAACTTAGTGTCACCATATTGTCATCATTATAATTGTTAAGCCAGCTGCTAGTTGCTGGAAAGTCAGTGCAGAGACTACTGTCATTTAAAGGAGACAGACACATCAACAAATACATATAGAAAGCGGGTCCCTACTTAAATGAGGAAATAACCCAGTGGCTGAGGGTCTGAAGGAGTTTTGAAAGCCTAATAATTCTCCCTTGCTGCCATATCACTGTGTATGGCTGTGGCAAGTGACAGAGAAAAATAAATGTTTTAAAAGAACCATGCTTGGATGAGGCATCTGAATGCCTGTTTCCTGAATGCAGGAATTGTAAGTATCTCTTCACAATGGCCTTTCCCTGCAGATCACAGAGACAGAAGGCCGCTACAAAGACGTCTTGGTGCCATCTGAGTCCCAAGGTGGCACTGACATCTGGACCCAAGGTTTGAGCTAAAGGTAGTCAAGGCTGAATTAGAGCCAAGAGCAAAAAGAAAATGATTCCAGATGCTTCCAAACAAGTACCGAGCAAGGCACTTCCTCTGCCTAGCAAGGGGCACCCATTAAAAGGAGGCACCTGTCCTATAGCCCAGTGCTGAGGTCCCTAGGGCCCTGGGGCCCTGCTGCATCCGCACCCTTATTTCCGCTGCTCACAGGGAGGGGAAAGTCTCTCTTCCTGACAGAGCTCCCTGCATACAAGCAGAGTCCACATTCTCCTGCCAACAGGGCCTTTCCATTCTCCGTTCTCACATTCTGACTTTTTTTTCCCTCTCCTCCAAACCAGAGGTGCCTTATTCGATTGTTTCAAATAAGTCAGCCTGCTGGGAACTGTTGGTGGAGGCTGATATTCCAGGCACAGGCATTCCAAAGCAAAGGAGAGCCTACTGCTCCAGCTCACAAAATACTCTTCCTTGTACTAATCAACTTTTTTACACTCAAAATAAATTTTTAATGGAATATAAAAAATATAATCTTCACTGTTTCTTCCTTCCATACTATATGAAGAGGTCCCAGGTGTTTTTAAAAATCATTTTTTTCTGTATAGTGTTTGTTTCTGAGAAATTACAAATTGCTCTAAGTGTCATTTATCTTCCAACATCACTGTGGAGGTAGGCTTCCAGCTTCCCATCTCCTGACCTCTCTGGCTGACAACAAACAGATGCTTCATGCGAAGGGTAAATCTAATCACAGTGGTGCTGTGCTGTGTGGCTACACATGAGGCTGAGTGTGTCAGGTGGCTGACAGTGACTGCCACATCTGGGAAGGGCTGACATTCACCCATGGCCAAAAGAGGAGATAGAGTGGCCCCTCCTGTCACAGCATCCAACAAGAAAAGAGAAGAACTTCCAGCACCTGAATTTGTAATAGGCTTGGGGAATAAACTATTAATTGAAGCTCTCTCCTAATGCTTAGTAATTCCTGTAAGAATGCGTTTGAAGGTTTGGTACTGTACATCAAGTTGAAATTTTTCAGTTTCTTTCCACTGTAGTTCATTTCAAATTAGCATAATTCAATTTTTATAACGTTAATACATATCATATTTACTAGGACATCCAAAAAAACTCAGCTGAAATAAGAGTTTAATTTTCCCCTATGAGAACTACTTGAAGTTAAAACCACTTTTCTTTTTTTCCTTTTTTTTCTTTTTTTTTTTTTTGAGACAGAGTCTCACTCTGTCACGCAGGCTGGCGTGCAGTGGTGTGATCTCAGCTCACCAAACAGAGATTGGCTCTTCCTCTCCCAGCATCAACTCGGCACTGAACCAGGAAGCAACACTTACTAAGCAGTACCCTGTGCTTTCTACCAAACACATCAATTAACTAATTGGATAAAAACTAGTAAAAATGTCTTTTCTATAGGATTTTTCTTTAAACATTATGAAACAATATTCTTTACATGAGATTCATACAGTGCTAGAGCACGATTGGGGTTGTGTGAAAACCTCTATTAAAAAGACCAGTGGCTGTATGTGAATATGGCTGCCTTCATAATGAGTAGAGATAAATGATAATAAAAATAAATAATGATGATAAATGGCTGCTAACTGGGACCAATGTCTCTGGTGAGCTGTCACAAGTCAGCAGAAAATGACACTCCTTAAATTTTATGAAACTAATAATACTTGATTATTCAGAAATACCTGATGAATAATCTGAATATGCTGAAACTAAATGTTAGTTCTCATTCAAATGCAATAATTTGACGATAGGCAGAGGGCTATACAATTAAACATTTTCTATTTAAATTTAGAAAACTATTTCTAAAATCAAGAATACTTTCAATTATTGAATTAGAAATTCCTAAACTCTACAAAACCCCATCATTTCATGTCTGTTCTTGTATTAAAAAAATAAAAATTAGCTTATAGAAGATAAGCTGGTCTAAACGTCATCATGAAATACAACTGTATTTGACCCTTGAACAACAGGAGTTTGAACTGCATTGGTCCACTTATATGTGGATTTTCTTCCACCTCTGCCACCCATGGGACAGTAAGACCAACCCCTTCTCTCCCTCCTCCTCCTCAGCCTACTCAATGTGAAGATGATGAGGATGAAGATCTTTATGATGATGTACCTGCACTTAATGAATAAGTATATTTGTGCTTCTTTATGATTTTCTTAATAACATTTCTTTTCTCTAGCTTACTTTATTGTAAGAATACAGTATGTGATACATATAACGTACAAAATATGTGTTAATACTGCTATTGGAAAGGCTTCTGGTCAACAGTAGGTTGTTAGCAGTAAGTTTTTGAGAGGTTAAAAGTTATATGTTTATTTTGCTGTGCTGAAGCTCTTTAGTTTAATTAGGACCCATTTGTCAATTTTTGTTTTTGTTGTAATTGCTTTTAGAATCTTTGTCATAAAATCTTTGCCAGGGGCCATGTGCAGAATGGTATTGCCTAGGTTATCTTCCAGGATTTTTATAGTTTTAGGTTTTACGTGTAAGTCTTTCATCCATCTTGAGTTGATTTCTGCATATGGTATGAGGAAGGGGTCTAGTTTCAATCTTCTGCATATGACTAGCCAGTTATCCAAATGCCATTTATTGAATACAGAATCTTTTCCCCATTGCTTTTGTCAACTTTGTCAAAGATGAAATGGTTGCAGGCTGTGTGGCATTATTTCTGGGCTCTCTATTCTGTTGCATTGGTCTATGTGTCTGGAATGAAATCATGTCCTTTGCAGCAATATGGATGGAGCTGGAGGCCATTATCCTAAGCAAATTAACGCAGGAACAGAAAACCAAATATCACACAAAGAAGGGAACAAGAGACACTGGGGCCTACTTGAGGGTGAAGGGTGGGAGGAAGAGAAAATACAAAAACTACCTATTAGATACTATGCTTATTACCTGGGTGATAAAATAATCTGTACACCAAACCTGTGACATACAATTTACCTATGTAACAAACCTGTACATGTACCCCCTGAAACTAAAAAGTTTTAAAAAAAAGTTATATGTGAATTTTCAACTGCATAGGGGTTTGGTGTCCCTAATCCTCACACTGTTCAAGGGTCAACTGTACAAAAAAATGAGACAAAACCATTTCTAAAACCATTTTACATCTATTTTGTATCTGTCTTTGCTGTTTACTTTAATTTCTGTTTTTGGTGAATACTCTCCTGTATTTCATACATCCTTACAAACTACCTTAAAATATTGCTAGAAGGAAAAGAGAACAAAAATAGAATAAACACACTAACACATTTGTAGCCAAAAGGACTCAAATTAAAGGAAGCACTTCTAATTAAAGAGACATCTAAAAAGTGTTTTTTTGAGGGCTGGAGCTGGGCTTAGGTACAGTTCAGGAGGGGAGCTTGTTGACCTCTGAAGCATCTTCCTGAACTGGGATTCTATTGACTGTACTTGCCTGTTTACCAAAACACATGCACACTGTGTTTCTTAATCAACAAAAGTATTATAATAGGTGTCCCTTAAGCTAAGGCATCCCTTAATCAACAAAATTATTAATTGATGCATAAATCATTATGTTAATAATTCATTATAATAAAGAAGAATTGGGGATGGGAATGACGTGGTTTAATGCAACAACATAACCATGCAAATCTCTGCTTCTGGTGATCATTTTCAAAGACATGTTGCAAAAATAGGGCCATTGCCTGTAAGCCAAAGCTGCGTTTCATCATGTCCCGTGACTTACCATGCATGCCCGGAAAAATGCAGGAATGAAGGACTGGTTGCATAGGTTGAGAATCCTGGAAGAGTCTTTTAGGACGTAGATACTGCCAAAGTCCACTTGATTGGGATGGACGTAGATAACTGGGCCTTCTCCAGTGCTCTTTAAGTGACATACCTGAGTTCCGCCAGAGAGAAAGAACACAGGAACAGCTGGAAATGGCTAGTCACTTATAGCCATTCCTTCAATAAAAAGCAAGGGCATAAGAGGATGCTTATGAGAACTGGCACCCCTTCCCACTGGTGTGCTGTGGTCTCAGGGACACAGTGAGGGCCATGCTGGTCAGACGTGTGAATTCATCCTGGATTTCCTCCCCAGAAAGGATGAGCAGCTTCCCAGGTCAGCCCAGAGCCATGCACTGAGGGGAAACCAGAATCTGGGTCCGCTCCATCCCACACAGCACTCCAGCCTCAACAACACTTAGTACAGGGTTAAGGGTCAGCACTGTGGCTGGGTTTGAGTTCCAGTTCTGTTGCTTTACAAGTGGTGTGGCAGGGCAGGGCCACTGCACATAGTTGTGAGGGTCGGAGATTGAAATCCACTTTGCTCTGCTCTCTTCTCCCTGTCCCTTGAGCCAGGCACTGTGTCTGCCCGAGGAAGGTGGCCTTTTTCTTTCACAAAGTTCTGGCTGCTCAGCAAGCTACCCTCTCATGGGCCGCATCTGTGCAGGGGGGTGGGGGAGGGGCACAGTGAGCCTCGTGGGGGACCTGAACTGGTGACATGTTTTGGGGTTGGCCTGCCTCGGTGATGCTGCTTTGTAAGTCAGGTGGCTTATCTACAGCATCTTATATGGAAGAGATAAAAGCAAAATCCTAGTGTTTTATGCTCTCTAAGCAATCAGAGTCACGTCAAAGAAATGTAAGGTGACATCACTAGTTCCCAAGAAAATCACATGTCTAGGAATACAGAGCCTATTGGGCAACCTCCTGTAGGATTCAATGTTTATCCTTCAACTCAGCCTAAGCAGTGGAGAGCTTTCCATGAATCCCTCTTCCTCTTAGAGAGACTATTGCTAATATGAGCCACAAGTCAAGTCAATATACAAGAAAAACTCAGGTGAACAGTGAAAGAAAGTGATCTCCTAGCCCATAGGTGACAAACCAGTGATACCCAAACCCAGCTTTGCACCAGGAACAACCAAGGAGCTTATTAAACATACAGATGTGCTGGCTCCTGTACAGATGTGCTGGCTTCCTCCCCTTGGAGATTCTGATTTAAAAGGATTGGAGAGGGGTCAGGCATGTGGGAATGTGTGTGTGTGTGTGTGTGTGTGTGTGTGAGTGAGATAGAGAGAGAGACAGACAGAGAGAGAGAGAGAGACAGAGAGAGACTCCTGGTATCCTGTTAGGTTTAAGGATGATTGCTATAAAACACCGCTTCTGTTAGATGTAGCCATAAACAGATTCCATAAAGTCACATTGCACTGGTATTTTACCATTGCAGAGTAAAAACATAAAACCCTACAACTCCAAGAAACTGGGACATATGTGAATACAGTGTGGGCCTTAAATGAGAAAGCTCAAAATGTTTGAGAAGCACAGCAATTTCAACTGCAGTTCTGAAAATGGATTCTCACCAAAGGGGGGTCCTGGCTCCCAAAGATCGAGATGTAAACTGTGGATCTGTGTTCTCCAGTGACCTGGGTCTCTAGGGCCAGTGGTATGTGGATGGTGCTGCTAGGGGGGATGACCCCACTAGGGGTGGGGCTGGAAAGCAGCATAGCAGGCACTTCCTCACACACCTGGGGGAGAGAAAATCAGAGAGGTAAGGACAGCACAGCATGGAACAAATAGCGTATTCGCTTATTTTGAAGTAAGTGTTTTCCTGAGTCCATAGAGGTCTTTTAGAAATGTCTTATTATTCAAGCAAGTAAATGAGGATGAATACCCCAATTGGGCCAAAAGGAAGTTTGGTTAAGTGGGGTGTGCATGAGGCCCAAAATTCAAAGTACCCAACAAGATGCAGAATTATCCGCAACACAAGTAAGTTCAGGGCAACAGCTTTCCACTATCCTTAGGAAAAGGAAAAGGTCCACTTTCCACTTTCCAAGTTCCTTAACCTGGCCCTCTGCACCCTCACGCATCGTCCCTGTTCCCTCGCCCTTTGTGCTCTATCAATAGAGGCCGCTAGTGTTTCCTGAATCCATGATGCTGCTTCTCACCTCCAATCCTTTGCACTCATGGTGACTCCTCCTAGAATGTCTGTTCCCATCAACCCGTCTGGCACACTCACCTTGAATTCTCCCTCCATTCCTCAAGGGTTCTAGGGTGGGAACCTTTCCTCTGTCCCCAGGGAGCATCCTGTGCAGTCCTTTTCCACAGCATGCACTGGACAGCACCATGCCACCTGCATGTCCCGCTGACAACTTCTTAGCACACAGCAGGGGCCTCTCCTCTCTACATGCCTACTTTCTGACCCAAAGCATATGCTCAGTTTTTAAAGTGAGGAATGAATGAATGGATGAACGAATGAACAAGTGTCCAGTGTTGACCAATTTGTGTTTCTCAGAAACCTGTTCTGCAGCATATTACCAGCTTTTATGCAACAAGAACACAAATAAAAATTTTTAAATGCCACTGTATAATCTTGGGAACCATTTTTCAGAGCCTCTGCTGCTGGGGAGGAAGACAGAGCACACAGGTGTCACCTGCCCGGGGTACACCACAGTCTCTCTGCATCTGGTCTGGCCTAACATGGCCCAGTCTAACTCCTCCCTGTGCCGCAGTGCTCCACCGAGCCTTATGACAGCCTGAGGTCAGACTGATCTCTTTACCTAGGTTTTGACATCTTGCTCATTATGGATTTTTTTGGAATTAATTTTGATTTCTTACAATACGGCATGGAAATACTAAGTATCTTGATGGAGTGCTTGGCTTCCCCTTAAATTCTGTCCCCAAGGCAAGTGCCTCATCCTATGCCCAGCGCTGCTGTGCAGAAGCAACTCCCCCTGACCCCAGATGCAGGCTCCACTCTGAGTTCTTGAAATGATCATGCACTGAGAAGGGTTGACCTGGCCTGCCGTGATGCATCTGAGTGGGTGTCAGACCCTGTCTCCCCTCACCCCCACCCTTGGCTTCTGGTTCTGTCTCAGAGAAACTCATAGAACCATTCTATTTCTCTCTTACATAACAGCCCCGTGACTCATTAAAGGTAGCTGTGTTATCCTAGCTAAGTCTATTCTGTTTCAGATTAAACACACACATGACTGGATTTGCAGATGCCATGGATTGCCATTTTGGTTACTGTGAACATGATGCCTTTTTTTTCAAGTTTCCATTAGAAAAATACAATGACAACATCTGAAGACAAAATTCTGGCTGTGTTCTGACCGGCAGCTATCTCCTTCCTTTACCTGAATGTGGTAATTCTCTGCTGCAGCCTAAACCTGCCTTGGTTCTGTGGCCTTCATATTGCTGTTTTAACTCCCATTGATCTTGTAGCCAAATAAACCTCCATACGATATTTGTGCACACATTTTAGTTAGAATATTGTACTTATATAACTGAGTTTTATACCCAAATGCATTCTTGGTAAACTGCATCTCAGTAATAACCTTCCATTACTCTAATCTGCACAGATTTTAAAAAAAAATGTTTATCCATCTGTGTTTAACTGCTTAGTCTCCCACCTAGCTGGGTGTAGTGGCATATGGACAGACACATGTCATAAAACATGAAGAGACAATTCCTCCTTTCTTATTCCTGTATTGTCTCTAGCTTTCTGGTCCAACAAATCTACTTATAAATATTGCATTACTTACTGATGCCATTCAAATCACAGCCATGGACATAATGAAAACTCCTAGCTCATTTCCCATGCATGGTTAGTTCACAGGCAATTATTTGCAGGTGCAATTCTGCATGTTGGCTTAATTGACACTTTCTCTTCTTTATCAAGGGTAATTTCCCTGGGAAATTAACAACAGTTTACACCTGCAGCTGTTCAGGCATGCAGCTAGCAATCCAACTATGACTTTATAACCCCATCCTTATGACTATCTAAGGGTTAAAAATCAGCATTACTTAAGGTCATGTGTTCAGGGATGTGGCACTTCAGAGGGATTTCTGTTTCTCATCAAGGGAACCCAATGGAAGAATTAATACTGAAGAAGGAGAAAGGAACTCACCTGAGGCTGGACCTCATAGAATCCTGGGAGGTCATCTCGATTGGCAAGCTGGAGTGTTTTCTCATACGGGTACTTCAGGAAGCAGTGCCCAAAGTCCACCTCTGTGTTGACCAGATGGAGGGCAGGTACAATACACCTGCTCGGAGAAGCCCATCACACAATTCAAAACAGAGAGCTTGTTTACATACAGAAAACGTAGAGCCCCAAGTGAGATACATTTGTCAGTGTCACATAGTAGTTTTTCTCTAATAACTGCATTAGTCACTTTCAAAGCTTCTCTCCTCCTCTCTTCCCTGTCTCTTGGCCCCCAGTCACCACTTTTTAATCAAAAAAGGACTAGAAGCAGAACTCCTTGAAGAGCTGTCTGGTGGGTAATGACTCACATTTCCATTGTTTTATATATTTGGCCTTCTTTGGGCAAGGGGTGCCATGGCGCAAGATCCTTAGGGTAATGAATCTGTTTCCATGCCAAACAGGGTCAGTGCCACCAGCATGTGGTCCTAAGTAGCTGTGACACTTTGGGCCAGTCAGAAAGCCCCCTAAGGACTAGCGACAGCTCATACCATCTAAATCACAGTAATAATGCTAATTCCTAAGCAGAACAGCTGTCTTGGATGCAGAGGCTCAGGGGGCTGCTTGGTCCAGAACTGGCACTGTGACGGGGTTCTCAGTGTGCCAACATGGAGGGGGTGAGGTGGGGGAGAAGGAAGGAGGGTTGTATGTAGGAAAGAGAGGAGTTGAAGCCCTGTGTTTGCCATTGGTCTATTATTAGATGACTTGGATTTTATTTGCTGTCTGTGACTCTCAATGTCTACTCTACCCTATGTCATTGTTTCAATATAGTGCAATGGTGAAGAGTACCAGCTTTTGAATTTGCAGAGCCAGCTTCAAAGACTGACCTTACGAAGTACAACCTGTGCAACCTTGGGCAAGCTGCTTTCTGTCTCAGAGTCCCATTTCTCTCATAGGTAAAACGAGGATAATTCTAGGGACTGATATTGGTGTTATAAACTCTTCTTAGGGTGTTGAAAGAGCACAGCCCAGCACCAGGTAAGTGCCCAGTAAGAGGAAGTGGGCCTGTGGCAGAATCATGGCAGGCTGTCACTGCTGGCTCTCTGGAGAGAGTCACTTGAGGCTGCAGTTCTAAAAGCAATTCTTCTCTTAAGAGTCAGTGAGTAGTTCTTATAGATTACACCAAAAATAAGGACATGAAAGAGCCTTTCTTTAACCCCAAAGTTTGTGATTTTGCACGAGGTGAGTGTTCATTTTTAGTTGGAATGGAAGTTGTCTGTTGACCCAGTGACTTTCTTAAAGCTAATCCTTTACGGCTTGAAATACTGTGACTGAGAGGGCTTATACTACTTGACTTGGGTCACAGAATATAAGTAGAAAACTCACAGCCTCTTTAGACCTTTTTTTTTTTTTTTTTTTTTTTAATTTAGGATTTCCTATTGATAGTTGTAGGGAAAGGGGCTGGAAGTATCTGAATACGCCTGTATAGAAAAGAAATGCAGGACTAGACTGAAAGGCAAACCTGGGCATAGAAAGGACCACATTACGGTTTTTACTGTTTGTAAACAAAGGAAAAAATTAGGTCTTGAAGGAATACTAAGTAGGTCAAGGTAACACAGTGGGAACCCTAATTTAAGTTATTTCTGCACTGTTATTTATCTTCATCCAAGCCCAAGACACATGAAATGGTGTCGGTTATCTCCCCACCAACCAGCACATCTGCCCCATCTTTAAAGTGTATGTCTTCCTAAGATTCACAAGAGATCTGAATTCCAGAGATTGACATATTAGCATAATTATCAGTTTTACTCAGTCATTTTCTCTATTTCCTATATATAGCATTTTCATACATACACCTTAAAGTCCCAGATCTGGACACTGATTGCTCTGGGAAGAATGCGGACCCAAGATTTTACTTAGGATCACATCATTATTAATCGATGACACTACTACTCTCATCAGCACTGCTGCAATGACTGTAGCTTCGTCAAAAAGACACAGTCAACAAATGGCTGAGCCAGGATTTTAACCCGGCTGCCTCTCTAAAAAAGAGAGAGGAGCTGGAGATGGTTCTGAGGAGTATGCATTGTTAAAGATGAGTCTCATCTTGGGGGCCCACACCTATCCTGCAATTCAAGTCATGGCCACAGTGTCCCAGGGCAAGGACCTCTTGGCTTTACAGATCTTCCACTGCAGGACTGACAGCAACACCTTCCTGTTGCATAACTCTGGAGCGCTATGTTGAAAGATGAAAATAAAAGCGAGCAGCTCTTCACCTCTTCCTGCTAAAACCTTTCTGGTTACATACTTTGAAAGTCAGACCCATTAGAGAGGGTCTGACCCATTTCTTCACTATTCTTAGGATTCTTTGCCTGAGCTCTACAAGACACACACACTTCTTATCTCCACTAAAGGTGCATTAGAAACATTTGCTACTTTGTCATTTGAATTCCCAGGAAGGCAGGACAAACCCAGTGTGCTTGGGTTGGCAGGCGAGCTGCCTTCTGGGAGGCAGCCCATGACTGGAGGCTCAGGAGAAGAGCAAGTTGGGGAGTGGTACCTTGCTGTAATTAAGAGCGCCAGCACCTCTTCTCCAATGCCCTCCACGTCCACGACCAGTGCGAGCTCGTATTTCTGCACAGTGTTGGAGCATAAGGTCACCTGGAAAGAAAAAGGTGGCAAGTTGCTCTTCTAAAAAGCACGTTCTCTCTACGGGGAGTGGGGGGCGGGTTTCTAAAAAGCACGTTCTCTCTACAGGGGGGAGAGGAGCCCCTGGAGGACTACGCTGATCGGTGTGGTTTCTAAGTGCTTTATGGATATATAGCATTTTACATTTTTAGTTGAACAAGTTACATTGTGGGGTCAGGACATGCTGGGTGTTTTCAAAAGCCAGGGTAGAAACCAAATGGCTTTTAGTACAATGGCTTTGCTCATTTCTGAGGAGGTTTTGTCAAAGAAGCCACATACCTGCATAAGGGGAAAAATGAGCATGAACGATGAGCAATATCAAGCCAACTTTAATTACTGCAATTTAAATTGTTCCCCACTTCTGGGCTATATGAATTATGAAAATGTAATATACTCGTAAAACACTATAGCACAAGTTCTCTTACAGTAAAATAAGTGGCAATAACATGTCAGTTCCAGAAAATGGTGGAAGAAATCAGTTAGTCTGCTTTACCAAAATCTTGCCCCCACCATCCCACATTCTTTATTACAGCAGAAAATAGAAAGTTCCAAAGAAGGGTCTATTTGAGGACAATAGAATGTGGGCAAAACATAAACAGATTTCAGAACTCATTGGTACTTAGATTCCAATTCTAGCAAGTTGGAGTTAAGTAGTAATGAATTGCACAGACAATTCATTTAAGAAGTTTAGCAGTTGCTAGGGGAGATTGAGGGTCAAGGGAGGCTGTTGGGGGCTCAGAACATTTTACCCTGTGTTTTTATTTGCTGCTGTGAAGCTGTACATTTAGGCTTTCAGAAGCCTTGTTACGATTTTTAATTGCTTCAAAATTATATGTACTGGAAGAGATAGTTGCAAGTCTAGAAAACAGCTTCTGGCATGGGTTAAGGCTTTTCTATCTATAAATTATGTATCTGGTACTAATTAAAATGTTTTCAGTTGCAGAGGGAATCACTGGATGCTTTAAATTTGAATCCACAAAGACCTGGCTGAAATGCAGATCAGAAGGAAAACTGGAGCTTGGAGAAAGCTTTTCCAAATATAAAGGAAAAATAAAGTGAAGATGAAGTCATCGATTTGGAAAGAAACAGAGAATCTTAGTGTGACTGTAACCCCCTGTTTATGTATCTGGGTTGTGGCTAGAAGGAAGAACAAGTGGTTTTGGCAGAAGGCTGCTAGCAAGACGCTACATCTTTTAAAATCTTCCTGAGATACCTGGGAAGCAACAACAACAAACAACAACAGCAAAAGAAAAGAAGGAAGACAGTTAAGGTGAAATAATTCCACTGGTGGCACTGTGAGGCCATAACCAAGGCAAAGCACTATCCTGATTGCCGACAAAATATGGAAGGACGAGTATTCTTCAGTATAAGGAAGCTGAATTCTCATGGCTTTTCCTGCGGAACTCAAGATAAAGCACTGTTAGTGATATCACATCCACATCCACCATGAATGAAGTCCAGATTCGGATTACAAAGCTGAATAAACCCGATATCATCTTTGGCATAAGAGTGGCCATGTATTGGTATCTAAAGGATCTGAGTCTGAAGGAAAGATAAACCTAAGTATCAATAAGTTGTGAAATCTGTTTATATTATTACCGATGGGTGTACTGTCTGGATAGTAGTGGCTTCACTAGAAATACCTAGAATCCACTCCTCTGGTGAAGACAGTGCATCTAGATTAACGTAAAGCCACTGGCACAGTGCCCATTGCTTTGCCCAATGTATTTGTGTCTAGTTTATTTCCTTATAGGCTCACTTTTCCCTGTAAATTGACAGGCATCCCCTCCTGCTGACACTGGATAGCAGGAAGGTATGAGGGCCCAGTGGCTATTTTAAAGGCTCAGCTGCTTGGCTGTGTGTGCACGAAGGCTATGCACTTTACCCTGATAGCAGCAAATCCCTGGGGGCGAATGGTGCCACAGTCAGGAGTGACGGTGAATTCTTTCAGTTTCATTGAGGATATTTCTTCCTTGGTCCAAGACGGTCTTTTGTAGTCTGCATTCTGCTCGCAATATGAAATGCTTTTACGGCCAAGGCCATCCCCAGGAATACGCAGTTTGAAAGTCATGGGGACCAAAGAGGTATTATTGAGAGAACATATCAAGGTATGAGGAAACCCTGGAAAATAAAATATGATGTGAGAAATAAAAGTCCCCCAACACCTCCCTTGACCCTCAATCTCCCCTAGCGACTGCTAAGCTTCTTGAATGAACTGTCTGTGCAATTCATTGCTACTTAACTCTAACTCACCCTAAATATTATTTTTATTGTTTCATTCCATCAATAAACACATTTTCATTCATTAACATATCTATTCTTTTATTTATGCATTCACTCAATGAATATTTACTATACATTTACTATGTGGGAGGTTAAACACCAGATACAAAACAAGCCCCTTGATTGCCACCCAGGCCCTTCTGGGGAGGCAGCCTCTGTTAGTAGTTTGCTGAGTAGTCTTGCAGAAGTATATTTTGCATTTATTTCTTACATAAAAATATATAGTTTTGCATGGAATCATGCTTGCTCTTTTTATTTGCCAGTGTGTGAAAGAAAAAGCCTGCACGGTTTTGCCTGCTGGGTGACCCAGAGCTTGCCAAGATATGATAGAGTGTGTCCTGGACCTGACTGGGGATCACGCTCGTAGGGGTGATGACACGGTAACAAAAAATAGCCTTTCCCAAGACAGACTTTATGAACTGCTTTAGAGTCAGCCAGAGACTAACACCTGGCTTTTACCTCTCTTAGACAAAGCTGCTTTGTCATCATATTCACCTTCGTTCCATGAGGCTCCTCTCTTAAGAGATGTAGATCTTCCTTGCCTGGCAAGCATACACTAAGCTCTGATTTTCTTTCTTTTCTTTTTTTTTTTCTTTTTTTTTTTTTTTTTTTGAGATAAGAGTCTTGCTCTGTCGCCCAGGCTGGAGTGCAGTGGTACAATCTTAACTCACTGCAACCTCCACCTCCAAAGTTCAAGTGATTCTCCTGCCTCAGCCTCCTGAGTAGCTGGGATTACAGGTGTGTGCCACCATGCACCACCACATCCATCTAATTTCTGTATTTTTAGTAGAGACGGGGTTTCACCATGTTGGCCAGGTTAGTCTTGAACTCTTGACCTCAGGTGGTCCACCTGCCTTAGCCTCCCAAACTGCTGGGATTACAGGCGTGAGCCACAGTGTCCAGCCACTAAGCTCTGATTTTTGATTCCCAAGGTAGCTACTGAATCTGATACCACTTTCAGAACAAGAATAATAATCTATAGACACAGGAGAACAAAAATGCATATTTCTACTGGATGGAAATGCTACTCTTCTACTTTGAACTCTGCTGTAATAAAATGTACTTGGTCTCTTGGAGTAATGACTGTTGCTGTCAGGGGTATTTTGAGTTGACCTACTTCTGCGTCATGTCTCAGTTTTTGTCCACACATTAGGCCACTGGAGGAAACACATTCATGTATCCTTTGTGATAACGCTCCGGCCAACCTACTTGGAAGATATCTTTCATGGAAAAAGAACTGTGAGATTGAATGCACTTGAAGGGTTATTCTTGGAAATTCCAGAGGAATTGCTTGAAAGTCAGTTTCACAATCATGCTACATGTGACTTTCCTCAACTTACCAAATAACTCTTGAAACTGTAGATGGCTTACCTTATTTGATCTGACCATTTGTGAGTTAGATGTTCTGTGAATGTGGAGCATATTACAGAAAGTGGGTTCTATAAAGATTCACGTGGGTCTTCCAAACCATTGCCCAGACTGCTTCCTTAAAGCCAGAACTTTTTCACAGAATAAAGCCAATTATGACCTTCTAGTTACAAAAATTTCTTGTACTAGTACCTATAATATCCCATATTGCTTGTCAAGAAGCCTAAATGAAGGGGATGCTGATTTGTTAAAGACTGAAGGTCATTAATAAGAATGTTACTTCTAGGTTTCTAGTTGCAACCAATCCTAATACTATTCTATCTACAGTTCCACCTGAATGCAAGTACTTTACAGTTGTAGACCTCTATGCTCCCTTTTTCAGTGTCTAGTAAATAAAAAGTCAATATTGATCTGCCTTCTCCACAAATAATTAACAACATAATTGCACGGAATGTCTCAAGGATTCACAGAGGCACTTGATCTTTCTCCCAATACTTGTATAATGATTTAAAACACAACATTCTCAAGAGGTTCAATTCTCCTTCAAGATGCTTACTTTCACCTGACCTAAAAAGCCCTGAAGAAGACCAGCAGAAACTAGCAGTGGAAGATTACAAGGCTGTAAAGGAAAAATTACAGTTCTTTAAAAATATGGTATATTATTTGGAATATGACCTTTCTACTAAAGAATGGACCCTATCTAATGAGAGTATTAAATTGATTCATCAACATGCAGGACTAAACACTAAATTATAATTGAGAAACTTTGGGGGATTCATGGAATATTTTAGACAATGGATTTTTAATTTTTCTAGTAGAGTAAAAATCTCCACAAAGCAAAGGGAACTGTGTTGGCAGATCATTATGCAAATCAGGTGGCATTTTTGTCATTGTCCATAGAAATAATTCAGAATATGGGAGATCAATAAGCACATATATCCAACTCATTTTAGACATATAAAATTCAGCCTCAGATTTAGAAAACAAACATTGCCTAAAATTGGGAACCTCTGCTCATTCCAATGGTCTCTGGAATACCAACTATGTCCCCAAATCTAAGATGGTCTTTGACAAAAATGTTTTACCTATGGTAAAATAGAAGAGATGAAATAATCTCTGAATAAGAATCAATGGGGAAATTTCTCCTCTGCAGCTGGGGATGTGGCTGGCTCCTGCCAAACATCCTGCTACCATATCCAGAAACATTGTACAAGTGGGATGTGGGTCTCTGGAATATACGTGGACTGGGCCCAAATCACAAAGTTCAGAATACATGCTTGTAATTGTAAATTCTTTGGATGGGTTTGAGCCTTTCTGTACAGAAAGATCACTGCTATGACTGTGACTAATAAATTGTAGACTATAATTTTCCCACCTGGGGAATGCCACTTTACACTACAAGAGTTAAAAAGAATTTTATAGTGTGTTAGCCCTTTGATAAAAATTTCACAATCCACAATCTTTGGGAAATGTAAAGCATAAAAATAGTATTACTGATCTTAAGTTGGTCCAGTTCTCTGAGGTTCTCATCATTCCTTGATGAAGAATTTTACCTTTAGCTCTGATGGCCATCGGATCTGATTAGCTCCCTCTGTAACTCATAGACTATTCACTTTATGAAATAATAACTAGAAGATCCATGTGATTACAAGTATTTCATCAATTTGAGTCAACCTTGCTTCATGCAGACATAACAAAATATTGTGAGAACAAGCTCATCTCTAAGTTTAAGAAGACTTCCCTACAATCCCACCCTCAGAAGTCCTCCCCTCTTTCTACCTGAAGAATGAGTACCCTGAAAAATACACCAATGAAGGTCTTCTTCAGAGCCTTCTAACAACTGACCTTGCAGTTAAATTATGAGGTGGATATCTGATGAAAAAGATGCCCATAGAAGCTAAATTATTGGCTGAAAACATGTTGAAAAATACTCTCACTGGAGATCTCAAATAGAGGTTTTCTAAAAAAACAGAAAAAACCTTCAGAAGCAGATGACCTTCAGAAATAGACTGCTATTTCAAGTCCCTCAGAACAAGCAGACTTTACCCACAGTAGATAGCTTCTGCTCAAGACTGATGGGATGAGATTTTGTTAGATGCCTGCCGTTACTGATTCTCACACTCTCCCTTGTGTCCTTTTGTTTTTATCATTTTGCCTTATTACTCCTTGTTTCCTATCTTAAGGTTATACAATTTTGATACACCCTCTGATGTTTCCCTTACTGTTATTGACAACTTGTTTTGGGCATGTTTTGTTCACACCTACTATGATCTCTTCTGCCAACCTTTCTAAGATCATTCTGTGATCATTACAATCCGGTTTTGCTCCCAACTCCCTACTTTACACCCTCCTAAGGTCAACTTAGATATTTCTCTTTGAGCTACATACTGCCAGTTTATATCAGTGCCACAGAAGAGACACCGGTAATGCATCTTTCGATGCTTTATCTGAACAACTCTGTCCCCAAATCCCAGATAGGTTATCATATTTTGTAATAACTTCTCTGTCCACATTATTCAATGGCCGAGTTCAATAAATACTTGGAGGTTTTCAAACTCCTTATTTTCATTTAACACATCCTTGTACCTCCTGAAAAATAGTGGGTTTGCAGATATTTACCTAGGCCTTTAGTGTATCAGCTAGCATGCCAGTTGTCATTTGGTCCGTTCTTTCTTTGACCCATCCAAGGATTCATCTGTGCCTCAATGTTCCTTCAAGGACAATCACCACCCAATTCTATTATCTGACTCTCTCATGCTACTGCAGCTGTAGTCAACAGAACTAATTACTGGGTATGTCATCCAACATCCAATCCTACCATCAAAAATCTTTATAGCCATAGAAATTTCAGAAACCAACATATAGTACTATTTATCCACCACCCATTTATCACATCATCATCAATTCCAGCAGACCCTGATGCAAAATCTGTATCTTTACCACCAAGCAAATGAATGCCACATCTCCAACCCTAATCTATAACAGACTTCTTTTTAGGACTGGAATTAATGCCAATACAGGGATAATACTGTCAACTTTAGTTAGCTTCAAGTATTCCCCAGCACTATATTAGCCTCTGCAAACCTTTTTTAACCCCACCCAATATGTCTGTCATTCTGAAACAACTAAAATATTCCTCCAATTCTTGGCTTACTTCTGGAATGATCAGTCTCACTTTTGCATCAGGAACTATACGCATCCCTATTAGTGTTTCATTCCTGAGCTAATAACAAGCTTATGCTCATCTGTCTCATTAACGCCTTCCTACTTGCACATGTGGGGTAATAATTAGAAAGCTTCAAATGTGGCCAGGCATGGTGGCTCACACCTGTAATCCCAGCACTTGGGAGGCAGAGGCAGGTGGATCACCTGAGGTCAGCAGTTTGAGACCAGCCTGGCCAACATAGTAAAACCCCGTCTCTACTAAGAATATAAAAAAAATTAGCCAGGTGTGGTGGTAGGCACCTGTA